CTTTACTCAGTTATTGCTTAAGTGTTTAGATTTTTCTAAACACTTTATAAGCATGTTCTCATTCAGTTCTCACAATAACCATCTACTGAAATTAATACACCCCCTGGTATGCTTCCTCTATTTAATGCATGGAGTTATCCCTTCCTCTTTATCATTAAGTTGGGTATGGTGGTGCAGGTTTGTAGCCTCTCAACTACTCAGGAGGCTTAGGTAGAAGGACTACTTGAGTCCAGGAGATTGAGACCAGCCTGGATAACATAGTGAGACCCGCTATTCAAAACAAAATGATTCAAAAACTCTTTTTCTCATTAGAATAATTTCTTTTCTTTGAGAAATTAGGACATTATTTATCAATTTTTGTTTCTTTCATTTCAAATGAAGGTCTTTGAGGACAGGAGTTTATTGTTACCTTAGTGTCAAAAGAAAACTAGATATATAAGGGCTGGGGTTGTGGCTCAGTGGCAAAGCACTTGCCTCTCATGCATGAAGCACTGGGTTCAATCCTTAGCACCACATAAAAATAAATAAATCAAATAAAAATGTACTGTCAATCTATAACTAAAAATATATTTTTTTAAAAAAGAAACAAAACTAGATATATACTTATCATTCAGTAAAGATCAAATGGATAAATAAAAAAGTAAGAAAAAATCAACTTGATAAGAATCTTTTTCATAAATAAAGGGAATAAGATACACCAGGAGTAGGAATACAAGCTTTGTTGTTGTTTGTTTTGTTTATTTGGGTGGTAGGAAAAAACTGGCTCATGTTATCATCTTTCAAAAGTGATAGCTACTATATGCTGTCACCAGCTCAGAATCATGCAATGGCTCTTCATTTTCATCCAGGGTAAAAGCCTGAAAGACCCTACATAGTCTGTGCTGGAGCATTCATTACCTCTCCACCCCTTTCTCCTACATTCCTCCCACATCCTTTGCTTATTCCACTTAGTACCACACAGGCCTTTATGTAACCACCCAGAAGATCAATCACCAACCATTCCTTCCCCCCGAGAGGATATTCCCAGCTTTCTTCCTAACCCCACCTTCTTCTTCAAATCCTTTTTCAGATCTCATGCCAGAATTAAAGATAGGTAGTTAGTAGCTAGGTAAATCAGGTCTAATATCTAGTCTAATAAAGAAAATGGAGTCTGACCAATGGTACAGAATAGAGGACACAGAGACCAATCCACAAAATTACAACTATCTTATATTTGACAAAGGTGCTAAAAGCATGCAATGGAGAAAGGATAGCATCTTCAACAAATGGTGCTGGGAAAACTGGAAATCCATACACAACAAAATGAATCTGAATCCCTTTCTCTCACCATGCACAAAAGTTAACTCAAAATGGATCAAGGAGCTTGATATCAAAACAGAGACTCTGCAAGAAAAAATTGGCTATAATCTACATATTGTGGGGTCAGGCTCCAAATTCCTTAATAGGACACCCATAGCACAAGAGTTAACAAGAATCAACAAATGGGACTTACAAAACTAAAAAGTTTTTTCTCAGCAAGAGAAATAATA